ATTGATGAGAGGGGTTGGATTAAGAAAAATTCCTGAACCGCCTCGGTGCTGCCTTTCATCTCTTCCGGTCGTCGATATATCCATTTTATTTTCTCATTGACCAATTTTTGAGGAACCTCCCCGTGGAACAACCAGTTGCTTGTATGCTTAATATAGGCGTTGTTCCTTGCTTCCAGTTTGTCCATAGGATATGTCTTCATCATTGTTTTTCTCCCTCCTTGATCCACCACTTGATTTTCTGAGGGGAGGAGAAACAGGGTGAGGAAGTACGCCCTAGCGGATAGAGGGTTCAAAGGGGTACATTCAACACCTCAATCCTTCCTTGTTGGTCCCCTGGGGACTCTTGTTTGATGGCGAGGGCTTTCTCCTTAATTGTGTTCCTGACCTGTTGTGCCCAGGAGACTTCCATTGCCGCCGTGTCTGGAATTTGGTCGATCTTGGGGATCTGTTTTTGTTTCATACCTTCTGTGTTTTTTCCCTCTTTCGTTAACACCCCTTCATCCTCGTCCCTGCCACTTTCCTCTTCTCCTTCTTCTCCCTCCTCTATCTCCATTATTAGATCTTTGTTAGGGGATGTTCCTTCCTGCGTCGTGTTCCTTTCTCCTTGGCGGTCCTCATTTCGGGAGGACAATGTTTGGTCAGATACCGCCATGTTTTTTTCTCTGTTTGGATTCGCTGGCCGGTGTGGCCACTGGTGTTGGTTTGATTGCATCTCTGCTCGGGCGGGGAGGCAACCAATGCGTTCTATTGCCGGGGGGGCGACCTTCTTGCCCCCCGACCCTCTTGTACCCTAATTCCATTTTGTGCTTCTGTGGATCTGGGAGTTTTTTTTTTTATAGCTATATATGATTGTTTTCTTTTGGGGTTAGCTGAGCTGGCTTTGAGGACCCTGGGGCTGAGTTTTTTTTAGCTATGTATGATTTGTTTCCTTTGGGGTTAGCTGCGCTGGCTTCGAGGACCCTGGAGCTTATACCCTTTGGTGGGGAGTGGGCTGAAAGGAGAAAGGTTCAGGGATAGGGGAGGAGGGGGAAGGGACAAAGATACTTGTTTGACTTGTCATTCACTCACTTTTCGCCTTTTCGCCTAAGGTCCTTCCTCCGCTGGGTGGAGTTGTTCTTCTGTCCTTCCGTCTGTTTGGTCCTTCCCTTTCCTCCTGCTGCCAGTTCTGGCAAGCTCAGGTTCAACCTCCTTTCATTCCTCCATGAAGAAACGAACCCCTGCTTTGTCTCTTGGCCTAGCTTCTCCTTCCCCGTCAAGTCACTTTTTCACCTAGGTCTCGCCGATGGCGATCGTTATTGTTGTCCGGTTCTTCACCTGTCGCTGCTGTTCTACGACGCCCAAGGAGGAAGTGTTGCCATTGCTTGAGAGCCATCACGAATGTGAGCAACTCTTTCTTCCTTGCATCATTAAGTGTGTTGATGGGGGAAACCTTGTGGCTGAAGTACTGCACGGGGTGCTTATCCTTGTCGTCGTGTTGTTCCAAGACTGCCCCAATGCCATAGCCGAAAGTGTCGGTTGTCACTCTTGTTGGCAAGGTGGGGTCGTAAATGCTAAGGACGGGTGTCATAAGCATAGCCGTCTTGAGTGCTTGGAAAGCATGGCGCTTCGTCGTCGAATTCGAATGGCACCTTTGGCGATTGTAATCGCTTCAATGACGCATCGATTCTTGAGTAGCCAGTGATGAAGCGTTGGTAATAGCCTGGCAATCCTATGAACGAGCGAATGCCCGTGGTGTTGGTGGGCTTAGGCCACACTTGGATGATCTCAATCTTGTCCACGAGTGGACGGATGCCTTCTGGCGTCACAAAATGGCCCAAGTACTCGAGCTCTTGCAACACGAATTCACACTTGTCGTGGTTGGCCTTGTACTTGGCTTGTTGTAGTTGTTCCAAAACGGTTCGCATGTGATCCATATGCTCGTCCAACTCCGATTGTACACCAAGATGTCGTCGAGGTAGATGAGCACGAAGCGGTCCAGCATGTTGCGGAGCTCCGTTGTCGTAGCCGCTTGGAACGAGGCCACGACATTCGTAAGGCCGAAAGGCATAACTAGCCATTCAAAATGCCCATTCCGTGTCTTTTTTTTTTTTTTTTTTTTTTTGAAAGACATGCTCTAATCTATTTGTGGGGAGCAGCACGTGCTGGGAATCGGGCCCAGGGTCCCATATGAAGACATGTAAAAACAATTTATGAACAAATTGCGGTATCGAGGCCATTACCCGATTTCGGCTTGAGAGTATCCTCCAAAATCATGAACAAACTACAGAAAATCGGAATAGATGATGAAAAAATTACGAATCTTTTTTTACGATCGCTAAACACCTCCTGAAATCCACCACAATTCTCCGAACACTCGAATATCTAAGGGATTTCCAACAGATCGTAACAAAGCTCATCAAACTGACTTATTCTCTGACAAACTCATCCAGGCCTCACGGCCCCTATCTGCTAGGTTACAGTCTTACAGAGCAATGCGACTCACTCCAGCTCCGATCAGTGTTGTCCTGTGTCAGCAACCCCCAACTGTCCCTTAGGATGCCCCCGCATAGCATCCCCAAATCTCTCTACAAGGCCTCATGCCCTCACCTTCGGCAAGTTACAGGGCATCACCCCGGCTCCGGTCAGCGTCATTCTAACATCAAACAACCACGAATCTTGAATATAACAGTCTAATTGCAGTGCAACTTCGTACAAACCATCAGCAGTCCCTCAGAGTCCTGAGTGATTCTTCAAACTACCGGGAATAACAAGGGTGCTTGTATTGAAAATTCCAAAAAGAATCAGAAAGAGTCCCAACCAAATACAAGCAAAGGATATAAAAATTCCCCCCTTTCCCCTCATCCCCTTGCCCGACCGCTGCCTCCACCGAAAAGGACCACCCCTGATCACGAACAATCCTCATCGGCCCCAACTTGGGACAGACCCATCTCCCCCCCTACTCCCACAAAGGCATACAGTTCCCACCCAAAGTATGCCTCTGCCAACCCCTTGCCCTTATCTGCCACTGCTGGGATATGATGCTGACCCCTACATCTCCCCCAGCCCCATAATAGAGCATCCCCCAAAATCTGCCCCGTCCCCCTTCAGGGCAATCACCTCCCTCCTTGTGAAGCCCCTGCAGAGTAGAGCTCTCCCCCTTAAAACCAACCCACCCCCCCACCAGAAGTAATTTGTATACGCTTAAGGGGAGAAAACGTGGTCTTGTAACGATCTTCACTCCGGATCTCCCCAATTTGAGGTCTAGCTTGGAGAAAAATTTGGCGCCACCCAACCGTTCGAGGAGGTGGTCGATTCGCGGGATAGGGCTGGTGTTCTTGACGGTTTGTGCATTGAGCTTGCGATAGTCAATGCACAACCGCAAGTCCTTATTCGTTTTCCAAACGAAGAGAACGGGAGCACCGTAAGGCGAAGAGCTAGGCCGAATCCAACCTTTCTTGAGAAGATTGAAGAGTTGTGCGCGTAGCACACTTTATTCTTCCTTGCTCATGCGGTAGATGCGACCATGTGGAGGTACGACTCTGGGCTCGAGAATAATCCCATGATGTGTGGGCCAGTCCGGTGGAACTCTGTGTGGGCTTCGAACACGTCGCCGTAGGCGTCGAGAAGCTCCATGATGTGTAGATCCGTCGATGAAGAGTCTTGTGGAGGGAGGGCGTGGAAAAAACACATACCCATCTCCTTGACATCATTCCATGAGATGAATGCTCAAATGGTCACGGCGAACACCACGTGGCAGTCAATCGAAGGGTGTGGTGGTGGGACCGTGCATGAAACCAATTTGTCGCAGCATTCACGAACGTGCATTGTACGACGATAAAAGTTCATTGGATGGTCCTGTCTTCGCAGCCATCACATGCCCAAAATCATGTCACACTTGGTATCCCAAATGTCGAAGGACACCGCCTCGCGTGCGTGTGGGGCGAAGTAGACCGAGACCGCGTCAATACCCTGGTCAATGCTCTTATATGTGTGATTGTCGGCTAAAGTTACTTCCGTAGGCTGCGACTTCCTTCGAACGCGTGGTCCAAGACCGGCGCGTACCATGAAATCTTGGCTCATGTAGTTGCGAGTAGCGCCACAGTCGATCAAAGCGCCGCGTGTTGCTTTTCCAATATGAATGCGGATGTACAGCAATGACGCGTTGTTGTCAGTGTAGCGTTGTGTCTCGAACTCGCAGTCAATCTTCGTAAGATACTCGCGAAGGTCGACAACCTCAACTCCACCATCCATCAACAGAGCTGGTACTGCAGTGTGCAAGTATTTCCGCAATTGTGCCATGAGCGCATTGCGATGTGGTTTCAGCAATCGACCGGTCAGGGGAAGGGGCATCCATTGGAAGTCCGCGATTGTCAACGGGTCGAGTTCCTCAAGTCTTGACCATGACGTCGAGTCCCCGACGAGAGTTGTCAGCGAAGCTGCCGAATCGGTTGCCAATGATGACGAAACTGTGCATGCGGTGGAGTCTTGCACGTGGAGTGGCTGGCCCAATGGTGGGACCAAGTGGACAGCGTAGTCTTCAAATGTTGACCTAAGACTTGCGACATCCGGATGCTCTCTTGATCTTGGCATTGAGAAGTCTTGTGTTTGGTGCTGTTGCACCAATAGCAACAACTGTAGCGGCGGCACCACTTATATTCGTTCTCGGTCAAGTTGAACTTGACCCATGGTGCTAGCTGTCCATTTCCGGCCGAGGATGTGGTCGTCGCCTTTTATTTATTTCGGGTCTTGTTGGTGCTTCGTGACTGGATGGCGGCCACCTGCTCTCCTGCACTTGATGCTGATGTGGCTGCCGGGTCTTCCACAATGTTGTCTGAGCGGACGGCAGCGACGTGCTGCGGTCATGGACCAGGTTTCCCTTTCTCCACATAGGAGGGCTGCAACTGCGATTTCTCGTGTGCGGCTGCCCGGTTGGTCTTGATGATCTCACGAGCCTCGTTGATGATTTCGGCAAAGGTCTTGCATGTTTCACGATGACCGAGGGCTTGGCTCAAGGCAGCACACGATCGGTTGCAGAACTCCTGGTGCAAGTGAGGAAACGAGAGTCAAGATCCGCCGTCGCCACAATCTTTTGCCATTCCGTTAACCAGTCTTGCGTAGGTGTGTTTCCTTGAGACATGCCGAAGATGCGGTTGACGGCGAGTGCTGGAGCATCATCGACAATGATCTTCCACTCCTTTCCCAAGTCCTTCTAAGAAATCTTGGTGTGCAGATCAGCGACCGCGACGCCATGTAAGGTTGTCATGTGGTTTAACCAGATCTAGTATCCTCCCTTGGCGTTGAGGTATAGTGCCGACACGTAGAGATGTTCGGGTACTTGGTGTATCTGAGGCTCCGTTGTGAATGACTGGCACCAGATGACGGGGTCTTGATAAGTGTAATCACCAAACTTTTCGATCTGCCATGGTATCTTGTACTCCCTCTTGCTGTTTCCATCGCCGGGCAGTTGCAGTTGCCGAACCTCGGTTCGCAGCGCGGTGAGTTGCTGACTGACGGTCGCGGGTGCTGCAAATTTGTTGATGTCGCCCAAGAGGGTGACCACATGATCAAGGCATTCCTCGAACTGGCGGGATGACGCTGCCGGCTGGCTGGTACTAGCCTGGCCTGCTTCCGGTCTTGGTTTCTCCAAGGCTTGGATACAGGCGTTCAGTGCCCGTGTAGCGTCCTCATGCAGGGCCTTGTGGTTCTGCACCGCCGGTCGAAGGTTCTCCAACTCGAGCTGCTGCTGCTTACAAGTGTAAACCAGACGCCACACGATTTTGGAGAGAAACTCCTTGTGCTCTTCGTCGGCCGTCGCGTTCTCATGTTCATCGGAGGGCTCAAAGTGCCAGAGCTTGAGCCGTTCAATGGTGGCTGTTTCGTGCCGCTGCAGCAAGCTGCATGCTTCCTTGCGGCGCTCCTGGGATTCATGATCGGTTGCACCCTGCAGCCGTGCTTGTTCAGCTGCTGCTTCGGCTGCAGCCCGTAGCCGAGCAGCTTCGGCATCCGCCTGGCGCTGTTCCTCTAATTCAATCTGTGCGAGCTGATCTTGAATACGCTTGCGGAAGTCTGAGATGGATTCGCCGGTGAGCTGGCCTGCCATGCCCAGTGGAGCCATCATGCTGATGTGTCACCTGCTGCTGACGTGTCACCTTGCTGATGTGTCACTCTGTTGCTGACGTGTCACCTCTGCTGCTGTGGCACTTACCAAGCCGTGGGAGAACAAGGGAGGGAGGGAGGGCTCAGACACACACCAGCATGCAAGACCCCCCAATCCCTGCGGTAAAGGCCTAATCAAGCAAAAAAATGCCCCCCCTTCGCAGATTTGACAAAGAAAATAATGGGAATACTTTTATTTGTTTGGGAAATGGCAGAACGGGGTGATCGGCCCTGACCTAGGTGCAGTCTGAAGAGCAGACCAGACTGTCCTGCTGGTAAGTGCAGAAGAAAAGGAGAATGTTTCAGATTGGTTGCAATATCAAAATTCGTTATTTTAGGGAGGTGAAAAACTTCCCCAATTTCGGATTTTTAAGTACTTCCGGGATTGTGCAAGGAAGATGAGCAATAGCAAACTTCAGCAATCAAACAGCATCATACACATGAGACCAGATAGTCGTGACCTCGAACCAGAAGCAGAATTGCATCACAAGTTTCACCAAATAAGAGCACACCAAAAGCTCAAAATTGACAATGCTGGAACAGTGTTACATACTCCAATGAGTATGGGCAGAACCAAGGATCAACCAATGTAGGATGAGCATATATGCAACGGAAGTCTGATGAACGGACTGACTCACATAGCATCACTCCACACACATAAAATCGTGAGGTGGTGGGGGCTGAGCCATACATAGAAGATGCTCAGCCCCGTACACACATACACAGATGAATGGGGGAGGAGAGACGAAGAGGTGGGGGGAGGTAGGCAGCACCGAAAGTCACCGAGATAGAATATGATAGGTCACCGATATGGTAGTCCAAAATGTCATCCAACAAGATCAAGTGTCGAGGACCATAGGTCACCAATGTCGGGGATACAGAGTCCAAATGTAACCGGCGTCTGAACTGTGATGTCGCCAAGTATCAACCCCAACGATCTCCAAGTCTCCAATCTGGTAAGTACCACAGTCTCATACCACCGAAGTCCAACTCTGATCTCTGTCCAATCTGAAGAAGAAGAAGAAGAAGAAGAAGAAGAAGAAGAAGAAGAAGAAGAAGGAGAAGAAGAAGGAGAAGAAGGAGGGAGCCGAGGAGGAGAGGGAGAGAGAGGGGACTGGCGATGGGAGGGAGGAGAGAAGCCTCCAACTCCCGGTACCTCAGGCGGCTATGGCCGCCGGTAACCCAGTCGCCGTTGCTGCTGCTCCGCTCGCTGCTGCTGCGCTAACGCTGCGCTGCCTGCTCCTCGCTCCTGCGCTAAACATAGCGCTCCAACGGCACTTTGGTGCCGACCTTACCGCACCGTATCGTATACCGGTGGGTCGATGCCTCAAAGTGAGGCCGGACCTGTACTAAGTACTGGTTCGAAGAGGACCGGCCTCACTGCTGCGAGGCCTTGGTTGGGGCTGAACCGTCCAGATCGACGATTCAGGTCCAACCGGAGAGCGGCAGCCTCAAACGGCGCCGTCAGGCCCAAAGACGAAATGTCATTTGGGCCTGGTCCGTAGTCRTGTCCAAGTCGTGGCCTTTCRGCCTGTTATCCCCCAAGGTCGGGCCTTTAGGCCCTGATGTGTCCCTCTAGCCCTAGGTCGGGTCCGGTAGGACCCGTGTGGCGTCGAAGATGTAACACACTCCCCCTCTTAAAAGACCGAGCTACTTGCGAGGGCGGAGTTGTCTGTCCGATACCGGGATGGGTCGGGTGGGACGAGCTGCGTCCTTAGCAAGGCGTCGCTTCTCATAGTCGRCGAAGATAAGGGGTGCAGAAGTCTGCAAATCTGTACTGGAGATCCATCGAGTGTCGTCAGGCGCACATTGCTTGAATGTGACTTTGTACTGCA